ACTTTTTCCCTGTAATTATCTTCCATTATTGTGATTCCATCTGCATTTGTGTACATTACTTTTATGCTGCTCACGGTAATTGGCCTGCTTATGTGTATGTATGCTGTGTATTTACTATTTGTATCTGCAGAATTGAGCTAGTAGCTCTTAGCCTTTCTTACCAATTAATTTTTTTCTCTATTATGTCTACTACATATATTTCTGTCTACCACACACACACCCACGAAGCAGCTGTCTAACTCCCAGGCACCTATTTACTACTAGGTGAACAGAGGCACCAGGGTGAAAGAAACTCTGCCCATTTGTTTCTACCTTTGCCGGGAATCGAACCCGGGTCTTTAGGACTACGACCCCAGAGCGCTGTCTACTCAGCCGCGACGTCCCTGTTATGTGTGTGTGTGTGTGTGTGTGTGTGTGTGTGTGTGTGTGTGTGTGTGTGTGTGTGTGTGTGTGTATGTGTGTGTGTGTGTGTGTGTGTGTGTGTGTGTGTGTGTGTGTGTGTGTGTGTGTGTGTGTGTGTGTGTGTGTGTGTGTGTGTGTGTGTGTGTGTGTGTGTGTGTGTGTGTGTGTGTGTGTGTGTGTGTGTGTGTGTGTGTGTGTGTGTGTGTGTGTGTGTGTGTGTGTGTGTGTGTGTGTGTGTGTGTGTGTGTGGTGTGTGTGTGTGTGTGTGTGTGTGTGTGTGTGTGTGTGTGTGTGTGTGTGTGTGTGTGTGTGTGTGTGTGTGTGTGTGTGTGTGTGTGTGTGTGTGTGTGTGTGTGTGTGTGTGTGTGTGTGTGTGTGTGTGTGTGTGTGTGTGTGTGTGTGTGTGTGTGTGTGTGTGTGTGTGTGTGTGTGTGTGTGTGTGTGTGTGTGTGTGTGTGTGTGTGTGTGTGTGTGTGTGTGTGTGTGTGTGTGTGTGTGTGTGTGTGTGTGTGTGTGTGTGTGTGTGTGTGTGTGTGTGTGTGTGTGTGTGTGTGTGTGTGTGTGTTGTGTGTGTGTGTGTGTGTGTGTGTGTGTGTGTGTGTGTGTGTGTGTGTGTGTGTGTGTGTGTGTGTGTGTGTGTGTGTGTGTGTGTGTGTGTGTGTGTGTGTGTGTGTGTGTGTGTGTGTGTGTGTGTGTGTGTGTGTGTGTGTGTGTGTGTGTGTGTTTGTGTGTACTCACCTAATTGTACTCACCTAATTGTGCTTGCGGGGGTTGAGCTCTGGCTCTTTGGTCCCGCCTCTCAACCGTCAATCAACTGGTGTACAGATTCCTGAGCCTATTGGGCTCTATCATATCTACATTTGAAACTGTGAATGGAGTCAGCCTCCACCACATCACTTCCTAATGCATTCCATTTGCTAACTACTCTGACACTGAAAAAGTTCTTTCTAACGTCTCTGTGGCTCATTTGGGTACTCAGCTTCCACCTGTGTCCCCTTGTTCGCGTCCCACCAGTGTTGAAAAGTTCATCCTTGTTTACCCGGTCGATTCCCCTGAGGATTTTGTAGGTTGTGATCATGTCCCCCCTTACTCTTCTGTCTTCCAGTGTCGTGAGGTGCATTTCCCGCAGCCTTTCCTCATAACTCATGCCTCTTAGTTCTGGGACTAGTCTAGTAGCATACCTTTGGACTTTTTCCAGCTTCGTCTTGTGCCTGACAAGGTACGGGCTCCATGCTGGGGCCGCATACTCCAGGATTGGTCTTACATATGTGGTGTACAAGATTCTGAATGATTCCTTACACAGGTTCCTGAACGCCGTTCTGATGTTAGCCAGCCTCGCATATGCCGCAGACGTTATTCTCTTTATGTGGGCTTCAGGAGACAGGTTTGGTGTGATATCAACTCCTAGATCTTTCTCTCTGTCTGTTTCATTAAGTACTTCATCTCCTATTCTGTATCCTGTGCCTGGCGTCCTGTTTCCACTGCCTAGTTTCATTACTTTGCATTTACTCGGGTTGAACTTCAACAGCCATTTGTTGGACCATTCACTCAGTCTATCCAGGTCATCTTGTAGCCTCCTACTATCATCCTCTGTTTCAATCCTCCTCATAATTTTTGCATCGTCGGCAAACATTGAGAGGAACGAGTCTATACCCTCTGGGAGATCATTTACATATACCAGAAACAGTATAGGTCCAAGGACTGACCCCTGCGGGACTCCACTTGTGACGTCTCGCCAATCTGAGACCTCACCCCTCACACAGACTCGTTGTCTCCTGTTGCTTAGGTATTCCTCTATCCACCGGAGTACCTTCCCTCTCACTCCAGCCTGCATCTCCAACTTTCGCACTAGCCTCTTGTGTGTGTGTGTGTGTGTGTGTGTGTGTGTGTGTGTGTGTGTGTGTGTGTGTGTGTGTGTGTGTGTGTGTGTGTGTGTGTGTGTGTGTGTGTGTGTGTTGTGTGTGTGTGTGTGTTTATGTACTCATCTAGATGTACTCACCTGGATGTGCCTGCATGTTGAAGAATTATCTCCTGGCTCTGCCTTTAGAATGTTATTCAGTTCCATGTTTTTCTTAACGTATTTGCATTTCAAGTTTTGAATTGAATTGGCTACAACAATTATTTTGTATAGCTCATTCCCCTTATTTACACCTAACTTACAGCTCTGTTGCTCATTTGTGTTTCAAAGTTCATATCTAAGTCTCAACGTTTTGCTGTTCCTATCTTCAAGCTTTATTTATGTATAATCTTTATAACTTAGAATCTTGTACGTTGTTATCATGTTCCCTAAATACCTCATCTCCTCCAGTGTCGTGAGGTCCAGTTCGTTCTGTATTTCTTTTCTGGTTTTTATCTTGTACTTTTCAGGGAAATGAGGAGAGGGAATTTCCTTCCAGTTTGACAGATGTTGTAGGCAATATCGTGCTATTGTGGGATTCTGGTATTAGATTAGAGTTATGAACCATCATAACATCATATTAACATCCTCTCCTGATGTGAGAGTTATTCCTCCTTCAAGTGTACTCTTAATTGATGCTAGAGGTGCAGCAAAGTTTACATGGTAAAGGAGAGTGTGTCTGAAGAAGTGGTCACATGGTTTGAGGCTTTATTTGATGGACGGGAACTATCAGAGGGGAAGCGCCAAGCCATTACGACTATATAGCACTTGGAAGAGGTCAGGATAAGGATTTGGGATGGGACGGGGGAAAGGAATGGTGTCCAACCATTTGGACGGTCTGGGATTGAACACGGACTTGCATGAAGCGAGACCGTCGCTCTACCGTCCAGCCCAAGTGATTGGCTATTTTATTTGATGGAGTAACATCTGGATTTAAGAAAAGATGGCGATATCGGACGGCAGGTCTGAAGGAGTAGATAGATGATGTCATCATTGGCCAATAGGAGCGAGGCAAGGCTGTGACGTGGCCAGAGTCGGGAGTTAAAGATTGGCCAGAGCTCACTTGTCTGTAGAGGGTCAAGGAGGAAGCACACTTTTCGGCACCCAGTAGTTGTACGATGGATTTTCTACTAGTGTCGGCCATGAACTAGTGTTAAGGGACAGCCGTAGAAGAAAAGGGGACAAGTGTAGTGCCTACCTCCCGTTAGTGTACCTAGGAGCGAGGTTCTGAAGCCAAAAATGATAAGAGTGCCTAGAGTTATTATAGCCTACAAGAGGTTTTGCTGTTCGTCCAACGAGTGGACAGAGGTCAGGTGCACTAAGAAGACTGGGTGCCTGTGTTTGACCCCACATGCAAGTTGCAAGTCAGAGAGAAGATCGACATTAGCAGCCAACAAGAGGTTGACGTCAACCTTCTGGAGAGGGCAGACTCCCTGGGCGCCATTTTGATTCTGCTGACGGTCGTCGATACATAGGAAAGGCACTTTACTTTGCTGTAATTTGAAGCGGAGTATTCAGTGATTTGCATTGATACACAGTGACCTTTATCATCAATATAAATGGCGAGGAAAAGTTGCTATAGAATAGACACATTAAAATGTCATCGCTAGAGAGGGCAGCTGCAGATCCACCTCGTTGGGCAGTCGTGGACCAACTGAAGTTTGAAATAGCTCATGAGTTAGCTGGGTGAGGGGTTGCCAAACGCCACCAGAGGCGGTGTAGAGAGTCAAGTATTTGAGGCGCGATATAATTATTTATTTCGTTTCATTGTTTCTGGCGGATTATTATTTGACGTATGGACAATTACAAGATTGTGAGTAGTTACTGGGAACGTTTGGGAGCCTCCAACGACGACCCAAATGAGGTACAACACGCTTATATGGTCCTCACCAATGAGTAAATTGCACTCCAACGACGGATGAATCCACCTATATCAGACCAATTAGTTTCATTTGGTTGCTTGAGCTACACGTACATTCTTGTATGATGCAGTGTATGGAGAGATTAGTTTTTTTCTATTATTCGCTAGTGGTGATTACCTTATCTGAATCCATCCAGATTTACAGGGCTGTGGAAGTGATAGCTTAAGGTTCTGAGGAGAGATTTTTTTTTTTTTTTTTTGAGATATATACAAGAGTTGTTACATTCTTGTACAGCCACTAGTACGCGTAGCGTTTCGGGCAAGTCCTTAATCCTATGGTCCCTGGAATACGATCCCCTGCCGCGAAGAATCGTTTTTTCATGCAAGTACACATTTTACTGTTGCTTTAAACAGAGGCTACAGTTAAGGAATTGCGCCCAGTAAATCCTCCCCGGCCAGGATACGAACCGATGACATAGCGCTCGCGGAACGCCAGGCGAGTCGTCTACACATAAGATCAAGAGTGAACATAGTTAATCATATCATATCAGTGTCCATATCATATTGTTTTCTATGCACATATTCAAACAATAAAATATAAAATATACATGTCCATTCATATACATTATAGTACCAAGGACATAATTTATTGTATAAACTTAACATATATTTGGAGAAATGGAGTGTACAAGTTGTTGAAAATGTTATAAGAGAGATATTAGAATGTGTAACTATCCAATAGGATATAAATGTACACAGATTTGCATGTATGCTTATACTGTTAGGTGATTGTAATTAACAAGTACATATATTTATTGAGCAGAAGTCTACCGTGAAGTTTGAAGTGGAACAGTGTGTGTGTGTGTGTGTGTGTGTGTGTGTGTGTGTGTGTGTGTGTGTGTGTGTGTGTGTGTGTGTGTGTGTGTGTGTGTGTGTGTGTGTGTGTGTGTGTGTGTGTGTGTGTGTGTGTGTGTGTGTGTGTGTGTGTGTGTGTGTGTGTGTGTGTGTGTGTGTGTGAGTGTGTGTGTGTGTGTGTGTGTGTGTGTGTGTGTGTGTGTGTGTGTGTGTGTGAGTGTGTGTGTGTGTGTGTGTGAGTGTGTGTGTGTGTGTGAGTGTGTGTGTGTGTGTGTGTGTGTGTGTGTGTGTGTGTGTGTGTGTGTGTGTGTGTACGATGTTAGTCATGTGTTACAGAGAGGAGCCTGTAGTAAATCGTCAAAAGATTGATTAGAGGAATTCTCCTGGTGTTTCATTTCTGTGTATTTCTTTAATTTATTAAATAGTTTGTTTATATGCTTTTCCTCTTGCCTCTGTGTGAGTTATAGAAGAGGGAAATACTCTCCTGCTTACTGATTACAAGAGTCAAGAAGAGTAGAATTGGAACTGACAATGGAGTGAGTATTGAGAGGACACCAGAGCACCTTGGGTGAGGGGAAATAGTCACTTATATTATATGCTCAGCGGTGGGTGTGAATTCATAACGGCAGGTGTAACCGGGCTAAAGTTCCCGTTTGTGTGCCATGACTTACTGTTTCCTAGAACTACAGCAGTTCTAGAAGTGACAATTTCTGCAAAGGTTGATGATCCGAGAGAGGTGTCTGTGAAGGCAGCAACACGGGGTGTCTGCCTGCCTTTATTTTTGTTTAATTACCACACCACCCAATAGGGTAGTTTGAGAGCAACGTTGTAGGTACGCCCATGTTAGCACTCTTCCTGATACACAAGCTGTTGATTGACGGTTGAGAGGCGGGACCAAAGAGCCAGAGCTCAACCCCCGCAAGCACAACTAGGTGAGTACAAGCTTGTTTTTTATGCCTACAATAGGAGTTTCTTGGGAGACACTCAAGAATTTTGCCAGTCGTTGAAGATGCAATCTGCTCAACTTTGTTGCTTGACTTTCTTCATCTTTATATACAACTACGTTAATTTTTCAAGCAGGATTTCCCTTTCGATGAATTCATGACGGCATTTTATGGTAAAATTCAGCTGTTTTAAGTGATCTACCAGCCTGTGTTGGATCATTCTTTCTAGTAAATCGCAGGTAGTACTTGTTAGTAATATTGCTCTGTAGTTCAGTAGTTACTACCTTATCCCTTTTTCCCGCCTTGACATCACATGTAATATTTTCCAACAGTCTGGAAGCTCTCCTTTATCAGTGAGGAACTGAAAACTGCTCCAAGTGATCTACACTGAGCATTCACTGCCTGTTTTGTATCCACGGGGACATTTTATCTGTGCCTGAGCCTTTTATCACATCCAGTTCTTTTATTTTATTTTGTTGGTGTCATATCCATTTCGGCAAACCTTTATTGCTATGACCTGGTAGATGACTTTCCAGTCTAAAAATGCCCTGGAAACTTTAAATGCGACATTTACACTGTTATCGTTCTCTGGGGGCGCCCTCCCTCCTGTATAATCTTATCAACTTGTTTTTGCGAATTTGTGTCTTTGTGCAATTGTTTTTATATATATGTTTTTGTGCAAATATACTTGCTTTAGATCCTACATACATATCAGATCATTATCTCGACTTTTTCGAGATCTTCAGCAGCTCCAAAACAGATCATTTTAATATTCGTTTCTCCGGGTATAGACATCACAGTGGGCGGCCAGGACCTGAAGAAGTCCTTCGAGTCAGCTGTACAGTCTTACATCGTCTTGGTGATCCTTACACCATAATCCTCCTCCATCAGGGCGCTGCTCTTGCTGATGCTGCTTTTCTTCCTCGTGTAGTGGATATGTTTTAGATTTCTTTCGGAGAATTCTAATGTTAATACAGGTCACTGAGTCATGTCAACCCACACTGTCACAGCACGTGGCAACTCTACACTGAGTCATGTCAACCCACACTGCCACAGCACGTGGCAACACCACACTGAGTCATGTCAACCCACACTGTCACAACACGTGGCAACACCACAATGAGTCATGTCAACCCACACTGCCACAGCACGTGGCAACACCATAATGAGTCATGTCAACCCACACTGCCACAGCACGTGGCAACACCATAATGAGTCATGTCAACCCACACTGGCCCAGCACGTGGCAACAAGGAATGACAGTAATTACAACACTGTATTGTTGTACTTTTATTTATATTTTAAAATATACAATTAGTTAACAAGAGCAATAATCTCAGACTTGATGGCTTTGTCATAAGAAAATTTCAGATTACCAAGTGATTATGTTTTGTTTACAGTCACACGGAGTGACCAATCACCCTAAGGGGAATACGGAGACATAATGACAAAAAAAAACTAAACAGAAGAAGTACAAGCCATAAATAATAACATGTTGTTAGTCCAATTAGATAGTCGATGACATCATAGCAAAGTTAGATATACTTGGAGAGTTTCAGTAATTTCGCGGGTCTATGGTCCAATATCTTTGCGTCACTGATGACGTCACCGGAAGCTGCCTAAGCGCGTCAAGACGGCCAAACAAAATTATTGAAGTAAAAGATAAAGGAAACCCAGCCCTAAAGGAGCTACAGTGTGTAATGACCGCGTGACACTGACCTCGTGACCTTACCACTGTTGGCTCACTTCCCCACGTCAGGATCAACTATTAACTCATCAGACAATGTTGCACATGTGGAACGCCTCTCACACATGTGTGTTCAACATGAGCGTTGCTGCGTGCTGTGCGGACACTCGTCAAGCGATGCCTGCAACACACTTCAGCAACCTTCTGATGAATTGTTAATATTTAAACATATGTCTAGATTTGTTTACATTGGAGGCCTAATAGTGAAAAAAACAAAAGAAGTATAAGTGTTGATGCCCTCCGCGTTATAACAAGGAGTTGATCCAAGAAGGAGGGTAAAAGGACAAGTGATTGTCATGAAAAGGAAGTCAGATCGTCACATTACTTGGAGTAACCGTACGTGAACTGGTGGGATCGTGCCTGGGTACGAGCCTTCACTCTCGAGTCGTTCTCGAACGGGTCAAGGGACGAGGAACGGAAGGTTCTGGTGTACTTGTAAGAGTCGCCGTCTCCGATGCTGTGTTTCCGCATCTTACCGATCATTTTGTTAATATTATCGGACAGCTCTTCGGACTCCTGAGCCTTACGATGGTCAAACATCTTCCTAGCTGAGCGGAACTTTTTGTCATCATCGTCAAAGCTGCTCTTGATAGAGCGTGACGTGGTGAACTTGAAGTCGTCGTCACTCAGACTAATGTTGCGACGTCTCGGCAGCCTTGGTGGCTTGAAGTCGTAATCGTCCTCTATGCTTAGGAGACGAGAAGGCTTCGGGGGAGCTCTTGGGGGTTTGGAAGACTCGAACTTGCTGCTCTCTTGGTAGGAACTCTTGCGGACGGTAGTTCCTGTGCCAGGGATGTTGTATGTTACTTCGTTCTTCTTGACAGTCTTTTTACCTGGGGCGTCCAGTGCCTCATTGTAGACGACCTCTTCCCACCTCTTAGCATTCGTCCCACTGCCTCGTTCAACAGCATCAGCCTTCTTGAACTTTTTCTCAAGATTCTTAATGTCATCCATGATGCTCTTTTTTGTAGCAGGATTTAACCCAAAATCATCTACTTTACCAAGATCCTTTCCGACATTAGTTTTGAACCCGTAATCCGGATCAATGTACTTCTTTACCGGTATTTTGAAATCTAGATCGTCAAGGAGTGAAAATCTCCTGCGAGGCTCAGGTTCTGGGCTGTCGAGGTTGAACGACAGCTTCCTCTCTCGGCCGCGGCCTGTCCTCGACGACCGAGGGCCATCATCGGGCTCTGGTTCTTTAGATCGGCCGACGCTCGAGGAGCGTCGCCTCACCAAGGGTTGCGACAGGGCCGCCTCCTCCTCGCCGTACGGAAGACCTCGGGCGCTCCCGTAGAATGGCTTATTGGCGAAGCGTTCAGCATAGCTGGCAGCTTCTGGAGGCTGGACTTTGGATCGCAGCAGTTCACGGTTCTCGATGTAATCAGTCTGGGGGTTGTAGTAGCTCTCGCCTACTTTATAGTTGTAGTCATAGATGCGGCAAGGCAGCTTCCTTTTCCACTTCTTCTCATCCATGCTGGCGGCTGCAATAAAGGAAAGGGTGAACTGCCACCAGGCGGTCTAAACTCTTTTCATAATATGTGTAATTAAACATTTAACTAATTTTATGGTTATTTATTAACATGAATGCATATGGTTTTCTGTAACCAAGATAATTTGTAATAATTTAATTACTCCATATAGTTAAGCTAATTTTTGCATTTCAAATTTATGTAATAATTATAAACAAATAATCGAAATGGTATTCAAACAGTGATGTAAAAATAATATTAACCTGGAAGATGAACACATTTGTCTTATGATACATAATTACTCCAGAAGGGGAAGGACTGAGCACTCAGAGCAGCCAGCAGGAAAGACAAGAAAATGCACAATATGAAGGAGTAATACGAGACGCCTTCAAGTATTGGCGTGGAATGTTAATGAAAATAGTCGAGTGGGACTTGTACAACTACTGGTCGAGTGGGACTTGGTGTACAGCTACTAGTCGTGTGGGACTTTGTGTACAACTGGTCAAGTAAGATTTTGTGTACAATTGGTAGAGTGGGACGTTATGTACAACTGGTCGAGTGGTACCTTGTGTTTAACTGGTCGAGTGGGACTTGATGTACAACTTAGAGTATAACTACCCAAATGAAAAGCATAACTTTTCAACTGACGAGTGAAACTGTCCAACTGATGAATATAATTATCCAACTGTCCAGTATAACTCTCCAACTATTGAATATAATTGTCCAACTATTAAATATAATTATCCAGCTATCTAGTATAACTGTATAACTGCTGAGTGAAAGTGTCCAACTTCTCAATATAATTAATTGCCCAACTGTCAGTATAAAATGATCGACTGTCGACTAGATATATAATAAAATCGTTCCTAGTGATTGATATACATGTTGTGATATTTCACTGATTTTCATGGTGATTGGTAGATACGTGATAACTGAGTATCCTCTATGGTGATTGGTAGATACGTGATAACTGAGTATCCTCTATGTTGATTGGTAGATACGTGATAACTGAGTATCCTCTATGTTGATTGGTGGATATATGACGCTGCAAGGATGTCCACGAGGCTGAGTTCTGGTTGTAGTTGGAGGTAGTTCTGTGTTCCTAAGAATGGTTTTGGATGATCTCTGCGCCTGGCTAATTAGATGTCCGTAATTGGAGCTAAGATAATTTTGAATATATGATTGCATGGTATGACGTTATGTACATACATACATACATACGCGCACTCTCGCCCCCACAAACACACATATATATATGTATTACACCTCAAAATCTGGCTTCGAGAACGAAGTACGAGGAGCTTTATTTACAATATGTCCGGAGAAGGGTCTCGCTTAGCGGTTATGTCACCAGAGGGTGGTAGGGGGAGGTGGTGCTGGAGGGGTGTGGGGGAAGGGGATCCTGGGGGTAAGGGGGAAGGGGCGCTGGGGGTTAAGGGGGAGGAGAATATTAGAACGAGGGTGGAGGGGTGTCACCAGGAGGTGCCAGGTGGGTTAGCGACTGCCAGAGGAGAGTGCCAGGACGTATATACTGTAGCTGGCTAGCAGGGCAGAGGGGAGTCATGTGAGGGTACAGCCGGGCATCAGGCCAGCGGAGGGGCCTATGGGGCCATCAGCCGGGCATCAGGCCAGCGGAGGGGTCTATGGGGGCATCAGCCGGGCATCAGGCCAGCGGAGGGGTCTATGAGGGAATCAGCCGGGCATCAGGCCAGCGGAGGGGTCTATGGGGGCATCAGCCGGGCATCAGGCCAGCGGAGGGGTCTATGAGGGAATCAGCCGGGCATCAGGCCAGCGGAGGGGTCTATGGGGGCATCAGCCGGGCATCAGGCCAGCGGAGGGGTCTATGAGGGAATCAGCCGGGCATCAGGCCAGCGGAGGGGTCTATGGGGGCATCAGCCGGGCATCAGGCCAGCGGAGGGGTCTATTAGGGAATCAGCCGGGCATCAGGCCAGCGGAGGGGTCTATGAGGGAATCAGCCGGGCATCAGGCCAGCGGAGGGGTCTATGAGGGAATCAGCCGGGCATCAGGCCAGCGGAGGGGTCTATGGGGGCATCAGCCGGGCATGAAAGAGAGAGAGAGAGTGAGGCCGTACAGGACAAGATCTAATGCAACTGTGAATAACGTGGACATCAAGTAAATGTATCCATGAATTTATGAGTGATGAACAGTGGTGGTGAAGTATTAACACATGCAGGCTATCACGTAAGAACAGTCTTGGAGAACGTGGTCGACCAGGCAACACAGTAGTGGAGGTGTGGACGAGGTCGCTGGTGTTACAGAGAGCTGGGAGTGGAGGCAGGAGGGTGAAGGCATAGTCACATTGAATATGGCTGCCGGACGAAGAAAGGAAGAGACCATAGAGCAAGTGATGGGAGGACATGGATCATAAAGCAACAGTAATTGGCAATGAGAGGCGTGAAGAACACATTTTGAAAAGAACCTTCGGAATTATGGACACAGAGGACACACTGGGGGACATATTAAGGGTGGATACACGGGTGAGGCATATACTGACAAGAGTAGCAGTATCCTCGAACGTTTCTCCTAACTTTCATAAAAAGAATATATGTATATATACGCAAAGAATTACAAAAGACTGAAAAGAATATATCTATAAACTTTGGTGAGTTTCAACCCGTCATCAGTAAGTCTGTGGTGCCGTATGAACTATCCATCTATCTGTTCATCTATTTCTCCATCTGTTCATCCATCTATCCACCTATTTATCCATTCATCCACCTATCTATCCGTCTATTCATACCTCGATCTGTCTTTCTGTCTATCCATTCACTTACTCATCTTTTTATGCCATCCCAATGCAGTTACCTCTTACTCTGGTAAAGGTCCGTGGCTTCAGAAACCTTTGATGGTGTGTGAGAATAGTCTGTTTTATGCGAGTACGGACAAATTATTACAACCAGCAAATGTCAGAAATTTTTTTCCGAGAACAGTGAATTATGGTGCATATTCCTATGGGGAAAAGATATTGTTTTGAAAACATTAGCTGTATAGCTGACGGGCAGAGGCAAAAATCGTCGTGGGGGTCTGAATGTGACACTGACACACTGTTTCTTGTGCATTATGGCGACTCTGATCATCCTATGTTCATCCCATACCCCTGACCACTCCCTCTTCCAATTTGGGTGAGGCTGGCCCCAAACGTGAGTCTCCAAGTTTGGACAGTCAGGCATTCTCTCTTATAGTATTGACCAGGGGGGAACTGAGCATTGTCCGGGTGCCATATCTTGCGACGATTTCGGGGCTCAACGTTCCCGCGGCCCGGTTCCTGACTAGGCCTTCTGGTTGCTGGACTGTTCAACCAGGTTGTTGGCAGCCTGACGTATGAATCATAGCCTGGTTGATCAGGGGTATGTCCTTCTATCCATCTATTTTTCTCCTGATAATTACCTTACCTACCATACCTATCCATCTATTCATTATCTATCCATCTATTCATTATCTATCCATCTATTCACTATCTATTCATTATCTATCCATCTAATCATTATCTATCCAGCTGTCTCTATTAATCCATCTATTCATCTAGCTATCCATCAATCTATCCATCAATCTATCCATCCGTCTATATATCCCTCTATCAATCTCTCTCTCTCTCTCTCTCTCTCTCTCTCTCTCTCTCTCTCTCTCTCTCTCTCTCTCTCTCTCTCTCTCTCTCTCTCTCTCTCTCTCTCTCTCTCTCTCTCTCTCTCTCTCTCTCTCTCTCTCTATATATATATATATATATATATATGCGAACAAGCCTGAATGGTCCCCAGGACAATATGCAACTGAAAACTCACACCCCAGAAGTGACTCGAACCCATACTCCCAGGAGCAACGCAACTGGTATGTACAAGACGCCTTAATCCACTTGACCATCACGACCGGACAAAATGAGGTGATAGCCGAGGCTATTTGAACCACCCCACCGCCGGCACTCGGATAGTAATCTTGGGCATAGCATTTTACCAAATCACCTCATTCTTTGGGGCACACGTGAGGAACACAAATGCGAACAAGCCTGAATGGTCCCCAGGACAATATGCAACTGAAAACTCACACCCCAGAAGTGACTCGAACCCATACTCCCAGGAGCAACGCAACTGGTATGTACAAGACGCCTTAATCCACTTGACCATCACGACCGGACAAAATGAGGTGATAGCCGAGGCTATTTGAACCACCCCACCGCCGGCACTCGGATGCCGGCACTGAGTTTTCAGTTGCATATTGTCCTGGGGACCATTCAGGCTTGTTCGCATTTGTGTTCCTCACGTGTGCCCCAAAGAATGAGGTGATTTGGTAAAATGCTATGCCCAAGATTACTATCCGAGTGCCGGCGGTGGGGTGGTTCAAATAGCCTCGGCTATCACCTCATTTTGTCCGGTCGTGATGGTCAAGTGGATTAAGGCGTCTTGTACATACCAGTTGCGTTGCTCCTGGGAGTATGGGTTCGAGTCACTTCTGGGGTGTGAGTTTTCAGTTGCATATTGTCCTGGGGACCATTCAGGCTTGTTCGCATATATATATATATATATATATATATATATATATATATATATATATATATATATATATATATATATATATTCCTATAAGAAAAAAGTTAGGAATTTTTGTATATGTGTGTAGGTCAGATATACTAAGGGTGTTGGTTGATATACTAGGGATGAGGGCTGATATACTAGGGATGAGGGCTGATATACTAGGGATGAGGGCTGATATACTAGGGGTGAGGGCTGATATACTAGGGATGAGGGCTGATATACTAGGGATTAGGGCTGATATACTAGGGATAAGATCAGATATACTAAGGGTGTTGGTTGATATATTAGGGATAAGGGCTGATATACTAGGGATGAGGGCTGATATACTAGGGATGAGGGCTGATATACTAGGGATGAGGGCTGATATACTAGGGATGAGGGCTGATATACTAGGGATAAGGTCAGATATACTAAGGGTGTTGGTTGATATATTAGGGATAAGGGCTGATATACTAGGGATGAGGG